CCAATAATTCCTTGACCAGCGGATCCCAATCATTACCGGCGTCCTTTTCGCCTGCATGCCTCGAAGATGTCGACCAGATGTTAACAAGATGTTCGACCTCGTCATCTTGCTTCATGATTGGATTTAAACGGAGAACGCCAAGACCGATTGTGCGATCCGCAATCTGCACTCCATCTGGGGGGCTGCCGGTTTTTGAGCCTGCTGTACTTGGAGGTCCAGTGCCTTCTCGGCTTTCCGCGCCGCTTGTTGAAAGTCGTTCATCATTTTGCTCGGCAACGGCGTCCATCCGCGTCACAGGTGACCCTCTTGAAATGCCAGATCTTGAGCTCTTGCCGCCCCACATGAGGCTCCGTCTTGTTGACTTCATTCCACCTGAAGATGTCGGTTTCATGTGGTCCCTCGAGTATGGAGCCGTTGGGGCGGTGCCTGAGCGCGAGAGAGGGTGAGAGGGTATAATCTGCTGAGATGCCAGCACTTTGATAACCAGGAAGAGCTCTGTTTCTGCTGAAGGAACATCGCCCACGTCTTGTGAGGATAAATCTGTGAAAAGAGTCTTCGTCTGTGCATGTTTGGCCAGGTTGACGATTGTGCCCCCGGCTGGTATTTTTACTGTAAAGCCTTCTGAAAGAGTAGTGGGCTGACCATATTGAGATTTGCTGACGAGGTAAAAAACCAGTGAGGTCTCTTCGATCGAGGCACCGGCGAAGCCCTTGATATCGACCATGAGATGGTGTAGAGCAGTCAATTCGACAAGGGACTGTGGGGGCTCATCCAATAGACTCATCACAGATTGCAACTTGGTGACTTTGACAATACAATCGTCGGCTGTCAAGACCCTTCCCCGAGCTTCAGGATCTCGCACAATAACTTCACCTCCGCATAATTTATTCACCCTAACCAAGTCCCAGACGGTCCTTTCACGTAAACGATCGTATTCGTGTGCAGTAAGAACGTTATACAGAAACTGTTGCCGATGTAAATTGAGGCCTGTAATAAGCTGAGAAAGTTGATCCAGTCGGTTATATTGTCGGGAGAGCAGGAGTTCATGGAGGTTAGTGGAATGCCATTCTCGAAGACATGAGGCGATCTCGTCTATTAAGGGTTCCGATAGCGAAGTTGGTGTCTCGTCTCCGATCTTGAGCATTGGTACGGGTGCAGCAGGGCGTGGAGCGTTGGGATCTCTATCCACGGGTACAGATAGATTTCCCAGAGTGCCATTGGGAAGTTCCTTGAAGGGCGTTCTGCCTTTGCTCGAGACCGTTGACCTATTTCCGTCTTTTCGGCTCTTTCGCGCTGAAATGTTCGTCACACCACTCTTGGCACTATCACTCGCGCGAGGCATATCGCCGTCCAGAGCTGGGCCATCGCTAGCTGCATCGTCGTTTTCGTCGCCCTCTTCGGGCTCTCCTAGCATCTCGCGAACCTCAACACAGCTTCGTGGGAAAATTCCGCTGAACACACGCGCCTCGAGTGTCTGGCCCTTGACAGAAGTCAGACCAGCCAGCAGACTGGGAGGCGCTACGAGGTAGCCGCGCAGCCAGTTGCCGTCTGGTGTCTCTTCGATAATGTAGAGTTCATCGCCAATCTCGAGGGGAAGGTCGGCGGGACTCGAAGCTGGGAAAGGGTAGGTCGCGACGGCGAACGCGATGCGGGGAAGAGGCTGCCAGGGCATTGAATATCGTAGGGGGCTGGTGCAGCTTATCGAAGAGTTCACAGCCGCCAGAGCTGGCGTAGTTGGAGGTTTCGCAGCTGGGGGTCGGCAACAACGAGTGGTAGGTGTAAGCTTTAACGGCTCGAGAGAAGGTCGGGTCAGGAGTTTATGAGTAGGGCGGTTGGTCTTTGTTGCACTACTGAACTCATCAAGAATTCAGATATTGGAGCGCAGTGCCAGGAGCTGTCGTTAAACGTGTGCCCCGTCGACCAATCGCGGGCTCATGGGATCTTGGAATTGGTCCCTGCAGCGCAGTTCCGAGAATGACAGGATATGATATGGCGTTGAACAGGCGTAGGCACAGGCACAGTGTAGCGAGCGTTTTGCTCGTTGTTAGTCGATGTTTGTTCGAATGCGCCGAGTTGATCCAAAGCGAGCGTTGTTGCTGAGTGAGCTGTTCAGTTTGGTTGGCAGGTCGCTCGAATCAAATTCAAACCCCCTGAACAAACGCGAAATAGCTTGCGGCGGGTTTTGGCAAGGGTTCTAGATCGAGGGGTGGCCTCAGCCTTTTCGCGGGATGAATATGGATGGATGTTGGTTCGAGCGTAGGCTGCGAATGGAATAGGCAAGACAAGGTCGCCAAGAAGGGCAAAAGGAACGTCAAAGAATTGCCAGAAGAGAAGAGGACAATAAGGGAGAGTTGCTATTGTTGGATTGAAAGGGTAACGTGCTATGGCACAGGTGATGAAACCAACGTTGAGATGGATCGTTGTCTGCTAAAAGAGTCAAAAGTTGGGCTAGTATGATACCGTTCCAGGTCTCGGGAGGGGACAAAATCCGCCGGCTCTAGTCAAAGTCTGTAACAGTAACAACATATCTCTCCTGCATACATGGATCTCAATGTACACCGTACTTGTCTAAGTGTGAAGAATAATTGCTTTTTGAGCTCTGGGATCATGCCCAATCTCAATTCCATCCCGTTTCCACTAGTGTCTGCGGTATGTGCTGCAAGTTAATGAGGTTGTGGATCGACAACCCATGAATTTGGGGATTAGATGCAACTTGAGATTCTAGACGTGAAGAAAAGAAACGGGGCGGAATTAGCCATTTAACATTAACGTACCGCTCCCCTGCAGACCTGCAGCCCTCTTTGCCCATTTCGCTCACACTGCATGGGCCGTCTTACACACCACCCAGGTAACATTAATGAGACGACATCCCCAGTAGCCGGAAAGCGTCTGCGAGTCCGTGCAGTATCTAATACGATAAATGCTCAGATCAGACGAAATGCGAAATGTGTCCGGTTATCGAGTCGGCTCGTGCCAGTATTACCCACTCTCACCGACGGCCCGCGTCCAAACCATCTAGTACCTTATGTATCTCCATCTGTATGCAGGGTTCGCATTAACATTCCCAACTCTGGCTCTTGGTCTATCATCAGCATGAATCATCGTGCAGACTTGATTCCCTTGCTTTAGTCGGGTTCCACTGCCTGCCCAGACAGCCAGAATGCTATTGCATCGTGTGATATTCAAGCCACCGACTTTGATCAAAGGAATGTCCTGTCTTACATGATAGCCTCAAAGGGTCAACCAACCGCCAGCAACCATTGACCGGACATAAACGGAATCATATTTCCGGTGGTACAAAGACACCAATACTTCACCCTCTTCGAGGTAAACCCGATGACCCAACTGAACAACTACCCTGCCGTGCTGGAATTTAAGCCTCCAATTCTGAGACAACCCACGGAACTCAGATCCGTGGTGATAATGCTTTATAACATCCTTGCATCAACCCTGCATTAGTTGGACCCAAAACTCTGATATGTACTCTGTATCGGGTACCACGGTTAACCTCATACTACATGAGTGGCTTATGGTTCACAAAGAGGCGTGACTTTGGTATCGATGTATTGTAGATTCAGTGCTACCAGAAGCATCTGAAACATTCATAGCTGCATACCCTGTAGGCAAATTGGACGAGCTGCGGATGTCCACTCAGAAGCTGGCAGTCTTCCTATTCTTAGTTAACTAAGAGTTAACTATGTTTAATACGAGCATAGTGGCTGTGTGAAACCTGACGGTCTGTCAGGTGGGATACCCACGTATTCACAAGAAACTTTTATCACGCCAACACGCATAATTTCAATAGAGCTTGAAACGCCGGTGAATCAAGCTGGTATTTATAGCGAGTTTCCCTATCTGAAACACAGCTCCATTACACGTCTTTATTACGTATGTGATATCCAGAAGGAAAAATAGAGACTCAACTTTAATATATCGAGGTACCCTAGACCAGTATCTAGGGAACCTTTCCCTACGTGCTGGATCATGCAATACAGAGCTCGACGCACTTGCATAGCGACAGCGTGTACTCCGTACAGAAACGTAGCTATCGGGTGTGGCGAGCTCTACTTCTGCTCCTTATTAACAGTTAGTTTATGACTGTCGACTCAGGTTCATGTACTAAGTACCTATATAGCCTTATATTGATTCACTGTTGTCTAGGACCAAAGAAAAGAAAAGTCAATTATGCCATCGTGCCTGTAATAGCAAGCGGGGATTCAAATTCCAATACAGCTTTCTGTACTGGAAATGCCGGGGTGTCTAAGTGCAATCGTCGGGTAGTTTCTCTGTTATCGGCATTCGACCATTGAATAATGTAAAGACCCATGCCCTTAAGAGGAGAACAGCCGGGGGCAAGCACCCACCTGACAACCACGTCAGGTTGATCTATCCCCAATCAGATCCTCTACTACACCACGGGCTTCTGATCGTCGGTACCAACCACCTTAGAGATACACCATAAAAGTAACACTTAGTGAAACTTCGGACTTCACAGGCTATGTCAGGGTAATCGCTCCAACTTGCAGAAGAGGATAGTCAAATCACTTATATCCTAAACGGTTCTTCAGTCTTACTCAAGCACCTACCTAACTGAATCAACTCACAACCAACACCATAGCCCATTCGTTTACCTCATGATCAGAGCAAACCCCCACTCTGCTTCTCTCCAAGACTATGCATTCGGCCATAATTCCCAATAAGGCAGCCCAAAGCACAACGTCCACGCTACGGCCGGGGAGTTCTATATAACCCGCCAATTCGATGTTCTCATACAGCCTCGTGCCATTATAGGCCCTGCGGTTTAACGTAGTATCTCAGGCGGAGGTCCAAGAACGGTCAACTTATAAGCTGGCAGTTCCCTAGCTGAAAGATTGACCTCTGAGTCTTTGATCAACAGGCCAGATCTACCGCCACATACTCGATATATTGACCACCTCCAGTATGCCTACTCTCTTATGCCTGCCACTCAATGCTGACTTCCCGTAACAGCCGCAAGCAAGATGGTGCTCATTACTCAACTTCTGTCGGGCTTTACCCTGGCTTCAGGAATCCTTGCATCGCCTATCGAGCGTCGTGCTGTTATCAACCACGATGCTGTCGTTGGATTTCCGCAAACTGTCCCATCCAATACAGCTGGCTCACTCTATCTCAAATACAAGCCTTACCTCAAGGTCTTCAACGGATGTGTGCCCTTTCCCGCGGTTGATAGTAATGGAAACATTGGGTATGTTAAGTTTAGACGTCCTCGAACTGAGCTGACTTGGTTGGTAGTGGAGGGTTAGCCACAAGTGGCTCGTCTAATGGAGGTTGCAGTAGCAGTACGGGCCAGGTCTACGTACGAGGCGGGACTTACAATGGCCGCTACGGTATCATGTATTCTTGGTATATGCCAAAGGACTCACCCTCTCCCGGACTAGGACATCGTCACGACTGGGAAAACGCGGTGATATGGTTGTCTGGTGAAAGCACAAGTGCTACAGTTGTTGGTATGGCAGTTTCTCAACACGGAGGATATGACAAGAGAACGACTGGTACATTCTCTGGGAACAGTCCTTTAGTGGGATATACTGCCGTCTGGCCTACTAACCACCAAATGATCTTTACCGACGACAAAGGTGGCCAGCAGCCGCTGGTTGCCTGGGAGAATTTGACCGCTGCGGCTCGTACAGCTTTGACAAACACTGACTTCGGCAGTGCCAACGTCCCATTCAAGGACGGAAGCTTCGAGTCAAATCTGGACAAGGCAGCCGTCTAACCCCCCTATAGATTCTCATGTATGTAGGAGACGTGCTGAAAGGGATTGACAATGGTTCAGGCCTCTAACCTGCAAGATTCCTAATAAACCTGTCAATTGACAGCCTAAGTCGGTATTCGCATAAAGAACATCCTTTCAAAGAAGTATATTCCCAATAACCACCCCTGGATGATTAGGATTTCCATATATTGCATCATAGGTGATCCTGTGTTGTTAATGTGGTGGTGGTTGTTTGCCACTTTCTATGCATCCAATTACAATGATCGGAAAAGTTTCTTCACAGCCAACGACACTCTCGAAAGACGGTGGGCCGTTGACGGAACAAGCATGTGGGCCTTGTATCGTCGACTTTGCGTGTTAGTTAAGCTCAAGAAGGGGTCCACCCAAAACAACAGAATGTGGTGATGACCTCTCTGGCTGGTAATGGCTGTAAAACCCTCTCGCACAATTCAAGATCCTGAAGTGGCGAGCAGATAGATACACGTTAAGTTTTCCACTTTAAACCAATCAATAATCCACGTTTATTGTTCTGCCATGGATGTTATCAGTGAAACTACTCAGGCAGGATTAAATCGCCGCACATAGGTAGCTCGGTTTCGCTATGACCCCCGCGCTGTGGATTGACATCATATTTGATGAGTGTATCTGATATTACTATCAACCACGGCGCCATCTTTGACATCGAGTTCTCGAATTTTTATACAATTCTTGTTGTACCTTCCTAAAAATTAGCCGAACCCAGCCGCAGATATTCATAGGTGCCTACATCACACACCTTGCCTTTTTTTTCTTGCGCCTGTAATCTAGTTGGTATTCTGCCATCTCGACGCATTCATATCATTTCTTCTCCACGCGGCAGAGACATTTCCCACATTTCCCACCTTCAACGATCTTACAATTCAGCCATACGCTGATCAAGTGTTACCTTGAAATCATATCCAAGAATATACCGAGCTACAACAAAGAAACACTCAAAATGGGGACACCGTTCATCAGTCTCCTCGAGCCTAGCAAGCTTGACGGATACAAACGCGGTGCACCTCTCGAAGAGCAGCCATCGTCGATCTCACAGACTTTCCTAGATGCCATGGAAGTTCGCGAGCAAGTCTTTGTCAATGAGCAAAATGTTCCGGCCGAGAACGAAGTTGATGATGATGATCCTCGGTCGTGCCATTGGGTTGTCTACGCCAGCGTCAACAAGGTGGAGGAGCTGGAGGTTCGCGATGAAGAGGGAAATGTGATACAACCTCGGAAGAGCTCGACACGCTCAACACCGATCGGAACTATCAGACTGGTGCCATTTCCGCACGACCCACACCCAGAGAAAGGGGGCAAATACTGTAATGGGATCCTTCAAGACGATGACGGTAGCCAGAATGGACACAAGAAGATGAAGGCGCCGTCGGGAATCAAGCCATACATCAAAGACCGGGAGACGACATTTCACAACGGCCAAGAGCCGTATGTAAAACTAGGACGACTGGCAGTGATCAAAGAGTTCCGAGGACATGGCATCTCTGGACTTCTCGTTAACACAGTGCTCAGTTGGCTGAAAGCTCACCCGTCATACTTCAATCCCAACATCAAAGTAGTTGGCCTTGAACATCTCAATCCAGTCGGAGATGTCATGGTGATTCCCCAGTGGTCAGGACTCGTCTGCGTCCATGCGCAGAAGCAGGTCGTACAGCTTTGGAAGAAATGGGGATTTGAGGTAGACGAGGAGATGGGTACGTGGTGGGAAGAGGGAATGCCTCATGTTGGTATGTTTCAGCGTTTGGAGATTTCAGAGAAGATATCCCGCCTAGATTAGCTGCCCTCTATTCCTCAAAATAAATCAATCATCCCACTGCAATGAGTTAAAAGACAAAGTCAAAAGGTTGAGTCCCTCTCGAGAGGCGATACCGTCAATTAAGTCAGACATGGAAAACCATAGAATTATAAACACAGACAGCTTTTGCTTATACATTGAATTTTAGTTCATTCACCTCTAAGGGAGCTCGACTTTTATTGAATCTAGAGCCACCTAAGAAAATCCCTAGCCGCGTTCCCAGACCCGATGAACGCAAAATGCAATTCTGGAAAGAAGCCGGAACACGCCAAAGCCAACCCTTCCAATCATGATACCACCGTTGCACCTTTTATCGGTTGCTCTTGGCCACACGCTCCAACTCGTCCTTCTTCTTGATAGCGTAAGAGTTGCTGGAACCCTTGGCAGCGTTGATCAGCTCCTCAGCAAGGCACTCGGCAATGGACTTGACGTTGCGGAAAGAGGCCTCGCGAGCACCAGTGGTAAGGAGAGAGATAGCCTGGTTAACTCGGCGGAGGGGAGAGACATCAACGGCTTGTCGTCGGACGGTACCGGCGGAACCAATTCGGGTAGAGTCTTCGCGAGGACCGCAGTTGACAATGGCGTCGACAGCGACCTGGATGGGGTTCTGATCGGTCATGAGGTGGATCTACCCCTGGTGTTAGCACTCTGTAAAGGCCAATAAAAAAGATCATTCCCCCTTCGTGGGCTTCTTAGGTTGGACGTACGATCTCGAAGGCGTGGGCGACAATTCGGACAGCCATGAGCTTCTTTCCGTTGTTGCGGCCGTGGTGCATCAGAGAGTTGGTCAATCGCTCAATGATGGGGCAGTTGGCCTTGCGGAATCGCTTTGTGGCATAACGGCCAGCAGTGTGGGTGACGTAGACGGGGTTTCGCAGGGAAATGTAGTCACTATTCATAGGCCATCCGTCAGCATCCCGCCGCGCACAAGTGAAGTTTTTCAAGATAACTTCTTCAGAGTCAAAACGTACGTCAGGGAGATATCGCGGACCTCGACATCGTAGTCCCACTTGTTGAAGAGCTTGACATTGCCAACCTCCTTGACAACATCCTTAGGGAGCACCTCGTAGAGGGCGGAGTTCTCGACCTCGATCTCGCCGGCGTCAGACATTTTGGCTGTTGCAGTGGTCTCGGGACTGACGGGCTGCGGTTAGTAAGTTGTGATCGAAGTGGGAGGGAGTTCGAAATCGAAGTTTACAATGTGGGCGCGACTGAGATTCGAGAGAGACGGCGGGAGGGCAGAATGTGCTTGGGGTGGGGCAAGTGCAACCAATCAGGGCAGCCACTCACCTCGGGTCAGGGTCGCACCTTCTTTTTTCTTAGGGCTCGGCTGCCCTGCAACATCTCGGGTGGCTCTTTCCACTTTCCAATCGCGCAGTGTCAATCGAGAGAGGTCTTCGGATTGAACACCACACTTTGTCTTGTCCAACCCAGACAACAGCACATCAGACAAAATGGTAAGTCCATGATGATGCCCTCCCTCAGCGCTGAGATGGCGGTCTTTGCGAACATGAATTTTTGACTGACTTGGACATCAGGCCCCCGCCGCTGGAGCAAAGAAGCAAAAGAAGAAGTGGTATGTATAAGGCGTATCGTCACCAACGATTTCCAAAAACTTACGCATCATCAAAGGTCCAAGGGAAAGGTCAAGGACAAGGCCCAACACGCCGTCGTTCTCGACAAGACCACCTCTGAGAAGCTCTACAAGGATGTGCAGTCTTACCGTCTCGTCACCATTGCCACCCTCGTCGACCGAATGAAGATCAACGGCTCTCTGGCACGACAGTGCCTTGCCGACCTCGAGGAGAAGGGCATCATCAAGCCTGTGGTCACTCACAGCAAGATGAAGATCTACAGTATGGCCTCCTCACCCTTCTCGCCCGAACATTCTGGCCCGATGCGCTGTATCCGATCAACTGCTAACATGATCTAGCCCGTGCCGTCGGTGGTTCTGACTAAATGCAATGAACGATAAACTTGAGTCTCACGATTGTGCGTCTGGGCGGCCTGGACGATAGACAGGCCGTATGGTCGGAGGGTGTTGCAAGGCGAAAAACAAAAGCCTGGTTTAGGACGCTATTGATGCTCGGTTAAGCATTAGGACGGAATCGCTTTAGCATACAAGGCAACGGAATAAAAAATCTTCGAAATGACCAAACTATAGTTCCTTGTGAGTTACAATCATGTGTCCTATAGTATGAGTAGAGATACCACTGCCCTATTTCCAACAACCATTCTGCAACTACTTAATGTCTGACAGGCCATCAACATTGTGAGGTATGAGCACTTGTTGAAGCGAAACTTGACTGAACGATATATGATATGGTAAACCCAACATCTGTTGCCTACAATCTATTGAGTCATCCGCACATGTGATAAGGTGGGAGATTTACTGGAGCAGACGGCCGTTGCTCTGGCGTCCTCAACTGCCTTTATCAAAGGCTCATAGAATTCGTTGTCAATGTGTTTCTATTTTTTACTCGGAGATCCGAGTTTGGCCATAAATTGCGATGCTGGCTTGCAGTCGAACTGGGGACCTTGGAACCTCCAACAAACCCGAAATTGGACAGTATGACCACTGTTGAGTTGAAATGTCTAACTGTGACTCTTTCCAGACCCTATCTCTTCCATTTTAGAGCGATTGACGAGTTCGTATGCCAGCAACACAGGCTAGTGAGGCTCGCGAAAGATGATTGCGGAATTGTGCGTGGTAGCTGCTGAATTAACGATTTCTCTGCTTCACACAAGGAGGAACTAGTATTTGATCTGCGGCCCTCAGTGCTTTCCAGGAACTTCATCGTCTGTCATCCAACTCCAAAGTAGCTCGACAATGAGTTCCCATTTTGGGCTCAGACAAATGCTGCGCATGCTAAAGCCTGAGTTATGAAGTAAAAGTCTCTGTCAGCACCCTTCATTCGTGCCCCATAGTTACCAAAGTAAGGCGCTGGTCTTGGTTGCTTGGATATTATTACAGTACCCAGTAATGCCAGTGTAGCCGTATTCTTCGTCATAAACTCATTTCCATCCTAATATCAAATTCCAAGCTCTCAGAGAAGATTGAGGTTTGCAAAGGGAGTCGAGCATAATGGGCGAGAATCTAACACAGTGTTGAAGATTATTAATATAGCATGTAAGATATCTTCCATGGGTACCTAAGGTAAGTAAGTAGGTATAATTTACTTGTGTTATTGACGTTTACAGAAGAAGCTCTTGTAGCACAGCATAGGTACGGACCCATGGTTGTTGTAGATTATGTGAATATGTATATCGATTAGGAAAGGCATCAAGTTCACAGTCCCCTGCAAACAATTAAGGCAGTCCTCTTATCACGACTTTTACTTGGTGCCCAGGTAGGGAACTCAATGGAGAATGGACGCAGGTTATGCATACACTCTAACCTAGATGGGACGTAGCCGCTTGGCCTGTGGACACATAGTATGTGCCATGAATATTTCACATTAGCTGTCCGACGAACGGCAGAGCTTTGACAACTAATATAACCAAACAGCCGTAAGAGTAGAAAGACCGGTCAGTCTGGATACGGTAGGGCAACAGGTATCACGTAGTCATGATGCCTTTTTCACCTTCGTGGCAGCGCGGTGTCGGAAAATTGCAATCTATACAACATACCTAAGTCAGGTGACTATCTCTAGATCCTGGGGTTTCTGTCCTTTGCGACAGGTTTGTTTTTATAGGTCAATGACTCTAAAGAGGGTCAGCAAAAACATTAGGCAAGATCCTGAGCGATTTATAGTAAGGCGTATGAAACGACCCATGGTAAATCTCTCTAGAAGGAAGAGGTCGAAGTCATGAGGTTTTCAATCATTAAGTTGGCGAATATTACTGTTCACGGTTTGGATTGACTCGAGTAAACGGGCGTCCCGAGAGATAAGCCAAATACCTTAAGGACGAACGACATAATTGGAGAGAAAAACCTACCTAGGTACTAGGTTGCCGAATCTGCATGACGATAAGCCCTTTTTCATACTGTACGGTACAGTGCATATCCAAAAGAGACACGAGTGAGGCGGTGGCGGACTCGTCATTCGTGTTGAGATATATGCCTCAGGCCCTTAGGCCCCACATCTCTATATGTAGCCTAACTACAGGATCCTAGCTAGAGAATATATATACACCTCTTTAAGCCCTTACCCCTTTAATAGGTTATAAGCCCTTATATAAACTACAGCGTTTAGAAAAGAAGCTATTATTTAGCAATTCTTTCTTTTTAAGCAGTTAAAAGTATATATATACCTAGAATAGGAAGGCATTGCAGGATAAGCTTTTTTTACTAGTATAATTACCTAGTTAAGGTTAATATATACTAGCTTAGTATCTTGTATTATATTAAGAAATAATATAAAATTAGAAATTAGAAAATATTATTAAAATTGTAATATAAAGAAGTATATATTATCTTTTCTTATTTTTAATTACCTTTAATTAATATATATTTAAGAATAGCCTTTAGTCCTTAATTGCTATATATATTGCCTTATATAATAGAATTTGTAAAGTAAATACCTTATTATTATATAGAAAAAGTAAAAA